GTGTGTGTGTGTGTGTGTGTGTGTGTGTGTGTGTGTGTGTGTGTGTGTGTGTGTGCCTCACCTGCCAGCTCTGCCTCCATCACCCGAGTATCCAAGTTATATAACCATCAATGTCGTCTAATCCTGACAGGAATCTTGTTCTTATTCTCAGCTCTCAGTGACCTCTGTCACGTGACTGTGGGTGGGGGGGGGGTCAACTGTGAGCTCCTTCAAGATGGCTACCTGTATGTCTCAGGTCTTAACCGCTGACCTGTGAGGCCCGAAATCAATTAAGTAGTTCCAAACTACTTTACGTCATACTTCCTAAAACTGAAAAATATCCCGTTGTAAACAGGTGGTCATTTAAATGACTTTTATTAGTTACGTTACAAATCTACCGGTAGTTCATTCATGTGGTCCTGGGTTCGATCCCAGGCGCCGGCGAGAAACAATGGGCAGAGTTTCTTTCACCCTATGCCCCTGTTACCTAGCAGTAAAATAGGTACCTGGGTGTTAGTCAGCTGTCACGGGCTGCTTCCTGGGGGTGGAGGCCCGGTCGAGGACCGGGCCGCGGGGACACTAAAAGCCCCGAAATCATCTCAAGATAACCTCAAGATGTGTGTGTGACCTTGGGGTTCACCTCTGTCTGGATGAGTGATGTTTGATGTTGTTGTTTCAGAGTTAGCTACTCAGAACGAAGTGTCCATGTAGCACGGGCTATGGTGAGCCCCGTAAGGTGAATGATGTGATCTCGTCACCATTCGTAACATCATAATATGTTTCCAGGTCACGTGGGCAAACTGGTAAGGATCATCAGACTGTGATGACCCGCATTAAGTCAATACAGATGTAAGAGTGTTGTTGTGATGGTGTCAGCCACGATGGTGGTTTAAAGTTCGCCTCGGTGGCTCATTGTGGCCTTTGTTTGGTAGATTATATAACAATGTGTTTATTCAACAACGTTTGTTGTAGTAAGTTTGTTGTGACAGAAGTTAATACACACACACACACACACACACACACACACACACACACACACACACACACACACACACACACACACACACACACACACACAGTACACACAGTACACACACATACACACACACACACATACACACACACACACACACACACACACACACACACACACACACACACACACACACACACACACACACACACACACACACAGTACACACAGTACACACACATACACACACACACACATACACACACACACACACACACACACACACACACACACACACACACACACACACACACACACACACACAGTACACACACACACACACACACACACACTACACCCACACACACACACACACACACACACACACACACAACACACACACACACACACACACACACACACACACACACACACACACACACACACACACTACACCCACACACACACAAACACACACACACACACACACACACACACACACACACACACACACACACACACACACACACACACACAGTACACACAGTACACACACATACACACACACACACATACACACACACACACACACACCACACACACACACACACACACACACACACACACACACACACAGTACACACACACACACACACACACACACTACACCCACACACACACACACACACACACACACACACACACACACACACACACACACACACACACACACACACACACACACACACTACACCCACACACACACAAACACACACACACACACACACACACACAGTACACACAGTACACACACATACACACACACACACATACACACACACACACACACACACACACACACACACACACACACACACACACACACACACACAGTACACACACACACACACACACACACACACACACACACACACACACACACACACACACACACACGCACGCACACACACACACACACATACGCCAAACACAGGATACAGAATAGGAGATGAAGTACTTAATGAAACGAACAGAGAGAAAGATCTAGGAGTTGATATCACACCAAACCTGTCTCCTGAAGCCCACATAAAAAGAATAACGTCTGCGGCATATGCGAGGCTGGCTAACATCAGAACAGCGTTCAGGAACCTGTGTAAGGAATCATTCAGAATCTTGTACACCACATATGTAAGACCAATCCTGGAGTATGCGGCCCCAGCATGGAGCCCGTACCTTGTCAAGCACAAGACGAAGCTGGAAAAAGTCCAAAGGTATGCCACTAGACTAGTCCCAGAACTAAGAGGCATGAGTTACGAGGAAAGGCTGCAGGAAATGCACCTTACGACACTGGAAGACAGAAGAGTAAGGGGAGACATGATCACAACCTACAAAATCCTCAGAGGAATCGACCGGGTAAACAAGGATAAACTATTCAACACTGGTGGGACGCGACCAAGGGGACACAGGTGGAAACTGAGTACCCACATGAGCCACAGAGACGTTAGAAGGAACTTTTTTAGTGTCAGAGTAGTTAACGGATGGAATGCATTAGGCAGTGATGTGGTGGAGGCTAACTCCATACACAGTTTATAATGTAGATATGATAGAGCCCAGTAGGCTCAGGAATCTGTTCACCAGCTGATTGACAGTTGAGAGGCGGGACCAAAGAGCCAAAGCTCAACCCCCGCAAGCACAAATAGGTGAGTACAAATAGGTGAGTACACACACACACACACACACACACACACACACACACACACACACACACACACACACACACACACACACACATTTATATATTTAGATTACACAAATGGATGAAGCAGTAGGAATATACAGTGGGGGAAGTGTAGTGCCCCGCAGCAGGAGGTGGGTAGGTCCCCACTGGGGACATTCCCACCTGAATACCTAAAGCAGCCAACCCGCCATAACGAAGTTAAGGTGTCTGCGACCTACTGCTACAGCCTCTCTCTTGAATATATATATATATATATATATATATATATATATATATATATATATATATATATATATATATATATATATATATATGGCTTACCCGGTACCTTAACCACTCGACCAACCGTGACTGTACAAAAGACGGTGGTAGCCGAGGCTATATCCCCAACGACCCGACAGCACTTGGTGGTAAGCTTGGGCATAGATATTTCATCGAATCACCTCACTTTGTGGGGCCACGTGAGCAACACAAATGCGAACATTTCCGTACACAGCGTGGTGAGTGGAGGAACCGTGTAGACTGGTGCACTTGAGACGAAGATGCTGGTCATGGATGCCGCGCTGATCGTCCGGGGCAGTAAACGCTCACATCAAACCATCGTCGCCTCAGCATCCAATAGGATACGGTTCCCGGCAAAGACAAAAACATTAAATCAGAAAAAACACCACAAAAGGTCCCCTCAACCACGACCAACACACCACAACCCCGAATTAAATGAGCTTTCTTTACAATGAGAGAGAGTGTGTGTGTATTCACCTGGTTGAGCTGTGCTCTTTCGGCCCGCCTCTTTCGGCTGTGTGTGTGTGTGTGTGTGTGTGTATTACATGTAAAGAAACAGTGTACTACGGAGACTTGAGAACATATTATTATTTATCATAGGACCAAAATTTATAAACAAAAGATCCTTCTCTCTCTCATACACCCGACTATATTATGAACGAGCACAGCAAACAGCCAGACTAGTGCCTTTACTCTAAACTATCATGTTTTCCTAAAAGGCAAAACCAAAGTTTTAAGTTCAATGGACAACACTTACACTCCACAAGTAAGGTGGAGCCTAAATACAAAGAGGAAATCGATTCACAAATCTTTCTGACCTTGAAAGTGTATAGAGACGTTCTGAGACAAAGTTTCCACTAACAAGATAAATCTGAGAACAGAACCGGGCGAGGCCAATTGCCCAAGAGTCCTGTTGATTACACCAGTCCAGTAGACAGTACTAGGTGACGCTTGTTTACTTGGTGATTCACGCAGCTAGTTACACCATCCTAGTCAATCTCTCAAGTGGTTATGAGAGCTTGGTCTGCCACGTACAGACAGAGGTCCGCATCTCCCCTCACATATTACTCAGTAACACAAGGACACTCTACCAATTACTGCACAAACAGCGGCGTTCACTCTATTGACCCAGATCTTAACCCGTCAACTGCGCCATGAATTTGGGAGTTCACCATAGCGCGCAATTTGTCAGAAAATTCAAATTGAAATTAAAATCATTAATTTCCAATGAATTTGTCGACCGCATTTGGAGAATGAATCAACAACAAAATATAAAACAATATAGTTATAATCAAAAATATATATATTATATAAAATTTGGTGTGAAAAATATATGAAAATAACAAGAAAATTAGATATACCATTTTAGATGCCATAATTTGAGTTTAGGAATAGATGGAAATTTACTCGCTTGGAGCCTTAGAAAGAATCAATAATAAGAAAAGTAATTAAATCTTACGATACCATAAAAAAGAGAAAACGGGGTATGGGGAAAAGGAAAAGCATGGGAAAGAAAATAACGTCAAGTTTCTAGTTGGAAGACTTCGGAAATAACAGTCTCGAGGTAGAGACAATTGTTGCATTTTATATATATATATATATATATATATATATATATATATATATATATATATATATATATATATATATATATATATAATATATATATATATATATATATTGTCTCATACACTTTTGAACACCTTATACTGCATGGCCCTGACCACTCGCTGGTCGGGTAGAGGCGACAGCCTTGCTTCTTACTGGGTTGGCGTTCGATTTCCGATGGGGCAAGTGATTGGGCAGCATTTCTTCGCTTCGTATTGACAAGTCAGCTCCTTGTCCTCGTGTCCCAGCTCCTTGTCCTTGTATCTCAGCTCCTTGTCCTCGTGTCCCAGCTCCTTGTCCTCGTGTCCCAGCTATTTGTCCTCGTGTCCCAGCACCTTGTCCTCGTATCCCAGCACCTTGTCCTCATATCCCAGCACCTTGTCCTCGTATCCCAGCTCCTTGTCCTCGTATCCCAGCTCCTTGTCCTCGTATCCCAGCTCCTTGTCCTCGTATCCCAGCTCCTTGTCCTCGTATCCCAGCTCCTTGTCCTTGTATCCCAGTTCCTTGTCCTCGTATCCCAGCACCTTATCCTCGTATCCCAGCTCCTTGTCCTCATATCCCAGCTCCTTGTCATCGTATCCCAGCTCCTTGTCCTCGTATCCCAGCTCCTTGTCCTCGTATCCCAGCTCCTTGTCCTCGTATCCCAGCTCCTTGTCCTCGTATCCCAGCTCCTTGTCCTCGTATCCCAGCACCTTGTCCTCGTATCCCAGCACCTTGTCCTCGTATCCCAGCTCCTTGTCCTCGTATCCCAGCTCCTTGTCCTCGTATCCCAGCTCCTTGTCCTCGTATCCCAGCTCCTTGTCCTCGTATCCCAGCTCCTTGTCCTCGTATCCCAGCTCCTTGTCCTCGTATCCCAGCTCCTTGTCCTCGTATCCCAGCTCCTTGTCCTCGTATCCCAGCTCCTTGTCCTCGTATCCCAGCTCCTTGTCCTCGTATCCCAGCTCCTTGTCCTCGTATCCCAGCTCCTTGTCCTCGTATCCCAGCTCCTTGTCCTCGTATCCCAGCTCCTTGTCCTCGTATCCCAGCTCCTTGTCCTCGTATCCCAGCTCCTTGTCCTCGTATCCCAGCTCCTTGTCCTCGTATCCCAGCTCCTTGTCCTCGTATCCCAGCTCCTTGTCCTCGTATCCCAGCTCCTTGTCCTCGTATCCCAGCTCCTTGTCCTCGTATCCCAGCTCCTTGTCCTCGTATCCCAGCTCCTTGTCCTCGTATCCCAGCTCCTTGTCCTCGTATCCCAGCTCCTTGTCCTCGTATCCCAGCACCTTGTCCTCGTATCCCAGCTCCTTGTCCTCGTATCCCAGCTCCTTGTCCTCGTATCCCAGCTCCTTGTCCTCGTATCCCAGCTCCTTGTCCTCGTATCCCAGCACCTTGTCCTCGTATCCCAGCTCCTTGTCCTCGTATCCCAGCTCCTTGTCCTCGTATCCCAGCTCCTTGTCCTCGTATCCCAGCTCCTTGTCCTCGTATCCCAGCTCCTTGTCCTCGTATCCCAGCTCCTTGTCCTCGTATCCCAGCTCCTTGTCCTCGTATCCCAGCTCCTTGTCCTCGTATCCCAGCTCCTTGTCCTCGTATCCCAGCTCCTTGTCCTCGTATCCCAGCTCCTTGTCCTCGTATCCCAGCTCCTTGTCCTCGTATCCCAGCTCCTTGTCCTCGTATCCCAGCTCCTTGTCCTCGTATCCCAGCTCCTTGTCCTCGTATCCCAGCTCCTTGTCCTCGTATCCCAGCTCCTTGTCCTCGTATCCCAGCTCCTTGTCCTCGTATCCCAGCTCCTTGTCCTCGTATCCCAGCTCCTTGTCCTCGTATCCCAGCTCCTTGTCCTCGTATCCCAGCTCCTTGTCCTCGTATCCCAGCTCCTTGTCCTCGTATCCCAGCTCCTTGTCCTCGTATCCCAGCACCTTGTCCTCGTATCCCAGCTCCTTGTCCTCGTATCCCAGCTCCTTGTCCTCGTATCCCAGCTCCTTGTCCTCGTATCCCAGCTCCTTGTCCTCGTATCCCAGCTCCTTGTCCTCGTATCCCAGCTCCTTGTCCTCGTATCCCAGCTCCTTGTCCTCGTATCCCAGCTCCTTGTCCTCGTATCCCAGCTCCTTGTCCTCGTGTCCCAGCTCCTTGTCCTCGTATCCCAGCTCCTTGTCCTCGTAGTCCCAGCTCCTGGTGTCCTCGTATCCCAGCACCTTGTCCATAAACTGTTTTATCACTTCAAAGTCAATTTAGATTCTTCATTTACTCGTGCAATCCGTCTTCACAATCACACAATCCTGCCTTGGTTGTTCGTGTCCCAAAGGGGCGCGGCCCGGTCCACTTCTCCCAACTGCACCCCCCCCCCCCCCCCCCCCTGGTGGGAATTTGGGGGGACACTCGGCCCCAAATCCAATTTTCCGTTCCCTGTACTGCAAAGTTCTTTGGGAGTCGACTCCACCGCATTTATCACCTACTGAAACATGTTTGATTATATATATATATATATATATATATATATATATATATATATATATATATAATATATATATATATATATATATATATATAATATATATATATATATATATATATATATATAGTATATTTTGGTAGCAGTCTTTCCTGTAGACATATTTTATTAAATATGACCGAAAAAGTAAGATTAATAATTCTAACACGAATTTTCTCAATCTTTCGTACATTATGCTTCACTGTTGGAGGTAAATCAAAAATCACTTCTCCAAAATTCATTTTTATTTCTAGTCTGACGCGACACGGGCGCGTTTCGTAAAACTTATTACATTTTCAAAGACTTCACAAATACACAACTGATTAGAACTTGCATTTCCCTGATTTTATATCTACTTTTGAGTGAGGTGGGAAGGGTGATGTGGCATTACATTTGAGTGAGGTGGGAAGGATGATGTGGCATTAGAGGATATTAATAGGGTATTAAAAGTATCAACACAAGACAGAACACGAAACAATGGATATTGAATAGAAGTGTTTGTAGAAAGCCTATTGGTCCATATTTCTTGATGCTTCTATATTGGAGCGGAGTCTTGAGGTGGGTAGAATATAGTTGTGCAATAATTGGCTGTTGATTGCTGGTGTTGACTTCTTGATGTGTAGTGCCTTGCAAACGTCAAGCCGCCTGCTATCGCTGTATCTATCGATGATTTCTGTGTTGTTTACTAGGATTTCTCTGGCGATGGTTTGGTTATGGGAAGAGATTATATGTTCCTTAATGGAGCCCTGTTGTTTATGCATCGTTAAACGCCTAGAAAGAGATGTTGTTGTCTTGCCTATATACTGGGTTTTTGGAGCTTACAGTCCCCAAGTGGGCATTTGAAGGCATAGACGACGTTAGTCTCTTTTAAAGCGTTCTGTTTCGTGTCTGGAGAGTTTCTCATGAGTAGGCTGGCCGTTTTTCTGGTTTTATAGTAAATCGTCAGTTGTATCCTCTGATTTTTGTCTGTAGGGATAACGTTTCTATTAACAATATCTTTCAGGACCCTTTCCTCTGTTTTATGAGCTGTGGAAAAGAAGTTCCTGTAAAATAGTCTAATAGGGGGTATAGGTGTTGTGTTAGTTGTCTCTTCAGAGGTTGCATGGCTTTTCACTTTCCTTCTTATGATGTCTTCGATGAAACCATTGGAGAAGCCGTTATTGACTAGAACCTGCCTTACCCTACAGAGTTCTTCGTCGACTTGCTTCCATTCTGAGCTGTGGCTGAGAGCACGGTCGACGTATGCGTTAACAACACTCCTCTTGTACCTGTCAGGGCAGTCGCTGTTGGCATTTAGGCACATTCCTATGTTTGTTTCCTTTGTGTAGACTGCAGTGTGGAAACCTCCGCCCTTTTCCATGACTGTTACATCTAGAAAAGGCAGCTTCCCATCCTTTTCCGTCTCGTAAGTGAAACGCAGCACGGAACTCTGCTCAAATGCCTCCTTCAGCTCCTGCAGATGTCTGACATCAGGTACCTGTGTAAAAATGTCGTCAACATACCTGCAGTATATGGCCGGTTTCAAGTTCATGTCGAGAGGCATGAGGCACCCTTCTTGAGCCCGGATGGACATATGTATAAGCAAGTAGATGGGGTCGCTATGGGTTCTCCCCTAGGTGTCCTGTTTGCAAACTTCTACATGGGTACCATCGAGCAAAAAGTCTTAGTCGACATGAACTTGAAACCGGCCATATACTGCAGGTATGTTGACGACATTTTTACACAGGTACCTGATGTCAGACATCTGCAGGAGCTGAAGGAGGCATTTGAGCAGAGTTCCGTGCTGCGTTTCACTTACGAGACGGAAAAGGATGGGAAGCTGCCTTTTCTAGATGTAACAGTCATGGAAAAGGGCGGAGGTTTCCACACTGCAGTCTACACAAAGGAAACAAACATAGGAATGTGCCTAAATGCCAACAGCGACTGCCCTGACAGGTACAAGAGGAGTGTTGTTAACGCATACGTCGACCGTGCTCTCAGCCACAGCTCAGAATGGAAGCAAGTCGACGAAGAACTCTGTAGGGTAAGGCAGGTTCTAGTCAATAACGGCTTCTCCAATGGTTTCATCGAAGACATCATAAGAAGGAAAGTGAAAAGCCATGCAACCTCTGAAGAGACAACTAACACAACACCTATACCCCCTATTAGACTATTTTACAGGAACTTCTTTTCCACAGCTCATAAAACAGAGGAAAGGGTCCTGAAAGATATTGTTAATAGAAACGTTATCCCTACAGACAAAAATCAGAGGATACAACTGACGATTTACTATAAAACCAGAAAAACGGCCAGCCTACTCATGAGAAACTCTCCAGACACGAAACAGAACGCTTTAAAAGAGACTAACGTCGTCTATGCCTTCAAATGCCCACTTGGGGACTGTAAGCTCCAAAAAACCCAGTATATAGGCAAGACAACAACATCTCTTTCTAGGCGTTTAACGATGCATAAACAACAGGGCTCCATTAAGGAACATATAATCTCTTCCCATAACCAAACCATCGCCAGAGAAATCCTAGTAAACAACACAGAAATCATCGATAGATACAGCGATAGCAGGCGGCTTGACGTTTGCGAGGCACTACACATCAAGAAGTCAACACCAGCAATCAACAGCCAATTATTGCACAACTATATTCTACCCACCTCAAGACTCCGCTCCAATATAGAAGCATCAAGAAATATGGACCAATAGGCTTTCTACAAACACTTCTATTCAATATCCATTGTTTCGTGTTCTGTCTTGTGTTGATACTTTTAATACCCTATTAATATCCTCTAATGCCACATCATCCTTCCCACCTCACTCAAATGTAATGCCACATCACCCTTCCCACCTCACTCAAAAGTAGATATAAAATCAGGGAAATGCAAGTTCTAATCAGTTGTGTATTTGTGAAGTCTTTGAAAATGTAATAAGTTTTACGAAACGCGCCCGTGTCGCGTCAGACTAGAAATAAAAATGAATTTTGGAGAAGTGATTTTTGATTTACCTCCAACAGTGAAGCATAATGTACGAAAGATTGAGAAAATTCGTGTTAGAATTATTAATCTTACTTTTTCGGTCATATTTAATAAAATATATATATATATATATATATATATATATATAGACCTATAAAATACATGACCTATAAAATGCTCCTATATGGTATACGTCTCCAATAGCCTCTGACAACCAAGTCCAACTCCTGGCCTGCACGGGTGGCTTAGTCTTTAAGTCCGGCGGAACTGCTTTTACCGACAGGAGAAGGGGGGAGGGCGTGCCTCTGGCGCCTTAAAACCAGCTGCTCCGGGTAGATGGGACTCGATAGCCAGGAAAGGCAGTCCATCTAGGGGAAGGAAAACCCTGATTTTAAACCTCCGCTGCCTTGCGGCCATACCCCTTTTTTGGGAAAGGCTTCAGGAGTCAACCTCGAGGAAAAATCCGGAGTTGGAGCCCCTAAGTCAGTTAGTTGTTGACGTCGACCTCGTTCTGGCAGCTCCTGCGACGTTGCTGGAACCATGTGTATTGGCATTTGCCTTTCTATTGGATAATTTCAGCAACGTGGAGAGGGGGGACCTGCTGCATGGGTAACAGCTTCTCCTCCATATTGACCTATCCTGGCTTTGCGCCCTGGAGAGCAACCAGAGCGCAACTCCATTGTCTGCAGAGACGGAAGGATGCCTACTACTACTACCAACTATATAATCAGAAAACTCTTGACCCCTGAAGGGTTCGAACCCAGTCAGGTATACCCTCCATGCCCCTTTCGCGTGTCGAGTACAATAACCACTCAGCCAACACATTGTACCCTTTGGTATTGGAAAGTCGTCTGAATTTTTACCCCAATACCCGACAGCGCTCGGGACAATTTTGGGCACAGATATATCATCAAATAACTTCAAGATGAGGCTGCAAGAGTAACATTTGTGCATCAGGCTTGAGTGGTCTCCAAGACAACATTCAGATCCTTTCTGATGCCTATTGGCTTGGGACCATTCACGCTCAAATATTACTCTTGTTAAAATGTTAAAAGAGGATAGTCAGATGACTTTCTAATACTTTTGTACAGTCTGTTGGTCGAGTGGTTATAGTACTAGACATACCAAGGGTCATGGAGGGCATAGCTGAACAGGTTCGAATCCTTCAGGGGGTCAAGAGTTTTATGATGCATGTTGTTTTCCATTCTACGTAAATACCTTTTACTGTGTAGAGAAACACTATATCACTTAATCTTTCCATTTTATTTCTTCAACGTTTCGTCAGCAATGTTACATCTACAGGGATATACACCTTCACACAACGTACACAGGCATACTAATGTTATTTACAACAAACATATACATTTATAGGTGTTTTAATATTAGTATATTTCGGTAGCAGTCTTTCTTGTAAACATATATTATTAAATATGACCGAAAAAGTAAGATTAATAATTCTAACACGAATTTTCTCAATATTTCTTATGTTTCTTTTCACTGTCGATGGTAATTGAAAAATCAATTCTCCAAAATTAATTTTTAAAATTTAAAATAAAAATGAATTTTGGATAATGGCAATGTCATCATGCTTATGGTTAAGCATGACGACATTGCTGGCGATGCTGATCTTACAGTGAAA